CCAAACGAGTAGAGGAGAGCCCGAAGAAGAATACAGAAGCTGAGCCAAGGAAGCCGACAGACGGCCCAATGTTACACAAGTCACCAAACCCTTTCAAACCAAGCATACCCTTCCCAAGCCGACTCCGAGATGAAAAGCAGGAGCAACAATTCCGAGACCTATACAACATGCTCTCGAAGGTCAACGTCAACCTGCCTCTCTTAGACGTGATCAAGAATATGCCCTCGTACGTAAATTTCTTCAAGGACCTAGTGACAAAGAAGAGAAAATTTGGAGATGGGGAGAAGGTGGTGGCCTACGAGGCGGCAAGTGCTATGCAGCATGATCTCTCGAAGAAAGAACGAGATCCCGGGGGCTTCGTGATTCAGATATCTCTTGGAAATAGAAAGGAGGCTTCGGGAATGCTTGACCTCGGGGCAGGAATCAATCTCATGCCTTTCTCCATCTTTCAGCGACTCGGCCTAGGAGACTTGAGGCAAACCCACATGTGCCTTCAGCTCGCAGACCGTTCAATCCGGTACCCTAAAGGAGTAGTGGAAGATGTCCTTGTCCGTGTTGGGAGACTCATTGTCCCAGTGGATTTCGTAGTTCTAGATGTGGGGGACGTGCAGGAGAACGGGAAGGATCACACAATCCTTCTCGGTAGACCGTTTATGGCCACCACCAACACCCTAATTGATGTCAAGAACGGGACATTGAATATAACGGTCTTGGGCGAGTCTGTTTCTATTTCAGTTCGAGAAGCAATATCCTCCTCCTCAGTGAACTTTGTGGAGGAGTGTGCCTTTGTTGATGTGAGCGACCCGTTCGTGGAAGAGATGACTGTACGAGAATTGGAGGAGAGGTCAATGCCCGACCTCGACGATGAAGAAGAGCCAATCATTGAGCTTTTCGCAGCTGACGAGCCACACGCACCTACTCCACCCGCATTAGAGCTTAAGGAATTACCCCGCCATCTCAAGTACGTCTTTCTTGATGACGAGAAGCAAAAGCCGGTTATCATTTTTTCCGAGCTAAATGGTGACGAGGAGAAGGAGTTGATTGATGTGCTGAAGAAGAATCAAAAGGCGATTGGCTGGAGCCTCGGTGACATAAAGGGCATCAGCCCTTCCACATGCATGCACCGGATCATCCTAGAAGAGGGTGCCAAACCATTTTGGGGCAGCCAGCGACGACTCAATCCGAACATGATGGAGGTGGTGAAGAAGGAGGTGTTGAAGCTCTATTCCGAGGGACTCATTTATCCAGTGGCAGACAACGAGTGGGTCAGCCCGATCCATGTGGTGCCAAAGAAAGGGGGCATTACTGTTATCGAGAATGAGAAGAAGGAGATGGTCCCCACCCGAATCACTACCGGGTGGAGAATGTGTATAGACTATCGGCGCCTCAATGCCGTGACGAAGAAGGATCATTTTCCGTTGCCTTTCATCGACCAGATTCTCGACCGTCTATCAGGCCATCAGTTCTACTGCTTTCTAGACGGACTCTCCGGCTACTACCAAGTAGCCATAGCGCCCGAAGACCAGCCTAAGACGACCTTCACGTGCCCATTTGGCACCTTTGCTTTCAGGCGGATGCCATTCGGCCTATGCAATGCACCCGGGACCTTTCAAAGGTGCATGTTCTCCATCTTCTCAGATATGCTCGAGGATTGCCTCCAGGTATTTATGGATGACTTCTCTGTTTTTGATACTTCATTTTCTGATTGTCTCCATCATTTATCTCGTGTGGTTGAGAGGTGTATTGAGTCTAACATGACATTGAGCTGGGAGAAAAGTCACTTTATGGTGACTAGTGGAGTCGTGTTAGGTCATGTGGTATCGAGTCGTGGAATTGAGGTTGATAAAGCAAAAATTGACGTGATTGAAAAATTACCCCCTCCTGTGAATTTGAAAGGGGTTAGAAGTTTTTTGGGTCATGCTGGCTTCTATAGGAGATTTATCAAAGATTTTTCAAAAATAAGCCAGCCTTTGTGTCACTTGCTTGCTAATGATGTGCCTTTCGTGTTTGATGATGCATGTGTAGATGCTTTTGGTAAATTGAAAAATAAGCTTGTGACGGCACCTATCGTGATTGCTCCTGATTGGTCGTTGCCTTTTGAGATTATGTGTGATGCTTCGAACCTTGCTAATGGGGCCGTGTTGGGTCAACGAGTTGATAAGTTACTTCGTGTAATTTATTATGCTAGTTTGACTCTTAATGGCGCCCAATTAAACTATACCACCACCGAGAAAGAGCTTTTGGCTGTTATTTTTTCTTTAGAAAAGTTTAATCTTACATTCTAGGATCTAAAGTGATTATTCATTCTGATCATGCGGCCCTTAGATATCTCTTGAGTAAGACTCAATCGAAACCTAGACTCATTCGGTGGATTCTATTGTTGCAAGAGTTTGATGTAGAAATTCGTGATAGGAAAGGTTGTGAAAATGTGGTTGCTGATCATCTTTCTCGCATTGTCCCTACAGAGCATTCACCTACTTTTCATGAACATGTTGACATAAATGATAGCTTCCCATATGAGCATGTGAGTGAAGTAGTTAGTGTCCCTTGGTATGCAGACATTGTAAATTATTTATCAGATGGAGTCCTGTTGTCTAACCTCTCTTCCCAAGAGACGAAGCGTTTCGTGTTGATGTGCAGGAGTTACATTTGGGACGACCCACTTCTTTTCAAAGTGGAAAAGGATGAGATACTTCGGAGGTGTGTGCCCGAAGAAGAGCAAATGGATGTCCTTGTCTTTTGCCACGAGCTTCATTGTGGAGGACACTTTGGAGGTCGAAAGACCGCATTTAAGGTTCTCCAATCAGGTTTATTTTGGCCTTCTCTTTTTAAAGATGCTCATAATTTTTGCAAATCTTGTGACCGCTGTCAAAGGATTGGGAACATAGAGGCCCAAGGAATGAGATGCCCCTTGTGAATAATTTGCAAGTAGAAATATTTGATGTATGGGGCATTGACTTTATGGGACCATTTCCCAAATCTTTTGGTTTTGAGTACATTCTTCTTGCTGTAGATTACGTGTCCAAGTGGGTTGAAGCTATCCCCACAAGGACGTGTGATGCTAATGTGGTTATCAAGTTTTTGCAAGGTAATATCTTGAGTAGATTTAGATTTCCACGAGCTATAGTGAGTGATGGAGGCAAACACTTTTGCAACCGGGTTTTTGAGAAACTAATGATGAAATACGGGATTTCACACAAAGTGGCTACCCCATATCATCCACAGACGTCGGGACAAGCAGAAACGAGCAACAAACAAATCAAGACCATTCTTGAGAAGACGGTGAACTCGTCCAGGAAGGATTGGTCGAGTAAGCTCGATGATGCACTGTGGGCCCAAAGGACAGCATACAAGGGAGTGTTGGGGATGAGTCCATTCCGCCTAGTCTATGGAAAGGCGTGTCACCTTCCGGTGGAGATCGAGCACAAGGCGTTCTGGGCAATTAAAAAGATGAACTTCGACCTTGATGTGGCCGGAAAAGAGCGACTACTGCAACTCTCGGAGCTAGAAGAGTGGAGGAATGAGGCCTACGAGAACTCCAAAATTTACAAGGAAAAGACAAAGAGGCTTCATGATGCTACTCTTATCTGGAAAAATCTCGTACCCTGTATGAAGGTTCTTCTCTTTAATTCCCGACTCCGTCTCTTTCCCGGAAAACTGAAGTCTCGTTGGAGTGGACCTTATGTTATTGAGGAAGTGCTATCATTTGGAGCTGTGCGACTCTGAAACCCAGCAAATGGTGACTTGTTCGTGGTCAATGGACAAAGGGTCAAGCCTTATTTCGAAGGAAAGTTCGAAAAGAATCATGTCGAGACTTTCAGTCTCGACGAGCCACTGTATCCTTGATCCAGACTAGAGCCGAGCTCTCGACAATAAACCGAACGTACTTCTGTACTTTTTGTATATATATATATATATTTTTATTTCTAAAAAAAAAAAAAATTGTCGCCGCGGGGCTTTTCTTAGCCGCAGCCGCGGCGACCATTATTTGATGAAGCCGAGTTTGATTTCTGCAGGGAAAATTTCGCGGCCATGGAGCAACCTCGCGACCGCGGAGTAGGGTCGCGGCCGCGAGCCTTTTCTTCGCCGCGGCCGCGGCGATGTAACGCTCGCCAACCCCTCATTTCTGCGTATGAAATCTCGCGGCCGCGGGGGGCGGTCGCGGCCGCGGCGATGACGATGGCACGTTTTTAAGACTTTGTGGAGATGGACGGTCGAACATATTTTCTCAATCTCCCGCACCCCTCGACCCAAATCACTTCCGCCTATCTCCGACCAACCGGCGACCACAACCAGCCACAATTTCCGGCGACGTTCCTCCGGCATCCCGCGATCTCCGACCCTCCAGTGGTGAAAAATTCCGGCATTTAACCGGCCTAAACCGATCCACGTGACTTCACTCGTCAACTTGCTCGTTTCATGCCCGATTTCTCACGAAAAGGTACCGATAGCTTACTATACACTGAAATTGGTTGATTGTTGTGGCAAGAGGAGGCCTACTCCGAGTTCGATCCCGCTCAAATTGTTCACACATTTTTAAGTCTCAACTCCGCACGCCACGTGTTCGACATATTGCCCGATAGACCGTTCCAATGGGCAAGAATCCGGTTCGTCCCACCAAGAAGAAAACCGCACAAGAACCGGCTAAGAAGCGCAAAGCGGGCGAATCCTCTTCTCGAGATGCCCCTCCGGACGGTGACCGTGATGATCTTTCGGACCAATACGGCGCTCCGTTCCCGATTTATTCTAGGAAGGAGGGCGAGATTTATGCCCGTCTCTCGCAAAAAGAGGTAGTGAGACCGAAGGCAGTGGATTGGGACCTCTTGAACGACTCGGGCATTCTCGAGGACGTGATGAAGTACCTCAAGGTTTTGAACCTAATCGACTACGCCAAAATAGAGGATAGGTCGCATCGAACCCTCATGCTTGAGTTCTTCAGCACATTCGTTCTCGCCGATGGGAACGAATACTTCACTTGTCGGCTTAAGGGGAAGGACCTCATGGTGGATAATGCCGTGATGAAGGACGTGTGCGGTTTCAATTTCTCCGGTACACGAAGCAAGGTCCTCGACTTCGACGCCAAGACGAGTTGGGCCGAACTCTCCCCACATACGACTTGGGACTCCGCCGGCATGTCCAACGGGCTTATCGAAGACCTGGCCACTGCCGTTGTGCATCGGTTCATCTGCTACAACATTACCGGCAAAAAGGAGGCGAATAAAGTCAGTGAGGTCAAACTTTTTCTCCTATGGGCGATGCGAGCGGGAGTACGGGTGTGTTCGATGACTTTCCTACAGAACTCCTTACAGGAGATTGCCCTCACTCGGCGTGGACTACCGGCACTTGGGCACTTTGTTACCGCACTCGCGAACCATTTCGACATCACCCCAGAAGCCTACAGATTACATGGAGAGATAGCGCTTCAGGAGAGGTCTGAGATGCGATGTCTCAATTATAACGAGCTCAAGCAGGCCGACCTTATTCGGAACCGGACTACAGCTAAAGAGTACACAAAGCGCACCGCCTACGACACCTATTTTAAAAAGCTCCAGCAGGGTCAGCCTAGTTCCGATCCGGCAGGGTCGTCTCGGCAACCGACGGAGGGAGACGAGCATGAGCAGATGAATGTCGACGATGACCATTTCCTTCCGCCTCCACCCGAGTGGCCGCCCGCTCTGAATCCTCACCAGGAGATCCCTCCATAGCAGCCACCGGAATGGTGGACCACATTTTAGACTCAGTATACAGCCGACATCCGCTCTATCCACGATCGCTTCGATGCCCAGGACAGCAGATGGGCTGCCCTCGAGAGCCGACAGACCACGCAGTGGACCAGCTGGGAGACCCAGCAGACGACTCGATGGGACCAGTGGGAGACCCAGCAGCAGACCCACTGGATTCAGATGAGTACGCAGTTCGATACCTTCGCTGGCGGCCTCCAGTCCATCCGCGAGCGGCAGGACCAGCAGGACGCTCGGATGAACAGCTGGGACCAGCGATTCACTCAGTGGGACACCCGTTGGGGTTCGGGTCCCAGTCAACCTCACCAGCCACCATCACCTCCGGATGCACAGTGACTTGTCACTGTGCTTTGTATGTTCTCTTTTTCCCTTTCTCTTTTTATTTGTGTACAGCTTCTTTTTTTTTATTTTTGCGTTGGTCTGTTATATGGTCTAACTCTCCTTCACCGCGACTCGACAATGGGGACATTGTCTGATTTTAAGTGTGGGGGAGTTTTACATGCTTATGTGACTATGTGGTGGATCAGGTCTAGATTTTCTTTTTCTTTAGGGTTATTTTTATTTTTATTTTCTTTTCTTTTGCGTGGACCAGTCTAGTTTAGGTTTATTTGTTCTTTGTGAGCTTGAACTTTGGTGTATTGTAAGACTAGTTGATGATTGGTTGATTGAGTTAGGGAGTTGTGATGATGAGAATGAGTGGCACATTTTGATGAATTGGCTTGGTTGATTTGTTGACATTTATTTTACCTTGTGAGGCTTTGAGCCACATTCATTTCTTTTCTTCTGAGTTATTAGTCGGAATCGTTGTCAATTAGAATTTGCCTTGAGTCTGCTATGAAATGAAATAATTGGATTCGTGAACGTGAATATGATTGAAGCATTCTTTGTATTTCCCTTCCCTTTTCTTTTTCTGAGAATAATGTCGCTAGTCACCCCTTTTGAGCCTTATTGATTTTCTTTCTCTTACCTCGTGACGATGATATTGTGGAGTTACGTGTGTGGATTGGGAGGTGATTTGCGGAGAACCGATTGGATTACGTTAAATGTCCAAAGGCTCTCTCACACAAAAAAAAATAAATAAATAAAAGCAAATGTATAAAAAAAATGGAAGTGTTGAATAAGTGGGTAGTAGGTTGACTTTGGAGTAGTGGGAGGAACCGGTTGGTGTCAGCAACCGGAGGAGTTCATGATTATGGTTATCTGATTGAGTTGAGTTGATTTTTATTTAGCCAGTTAGCCTATATTTATCCTACCCGGTCCAAAGAGCCTACGTTACAACCCTTAAAGTCCTCTTGATTAATTGTTTCACGAATTTGATTGTTTTATAGTAGGAGTTAGACGATAGGCAAATTTATGATTGATTCGACTGATGACCAATTTGAGTGTACCCGGTGATATTTGAGAAAAAAAAATTGAGTGAGGCATATATGATACACTTCTGTACTCGAGAGTTGATGTCATTCAAAATGGCCAAGTTAATAGTTGAGGTGTGTGCTTGTGATCATTTGAATTCTTCTTGCTTGATTGATTGGTTTGAGATTAGTCTTGCTTGAACCATTGTCCTTGCTCGTCTGTTTGTTTTTCTTTTCTTTTCTTTTCTTTTTGTTCGGGACGAACAAAGTTTTTAGTGTGGGGGAGTTGTTCGTTCCACTTTTGTCATGTTTTTCTTGTTTATTTTATGCTTATTTTTTCCCCTCCTTAGGTATTTTTATTTGGTTTTTGGTCCGTTTTGAATCGTTTCGTGCATTTCCTTTGTTTTAGTCGTTTGTTGGTCTTTTTGTTCGTTTTTCCCGGTTTTTCGTATTTCTTATCGGTGGTGATGTGCAGGTCAGATAGCGCGGTGCATGGCCATGCGAGGATTATCACCTAGATGGACGAGTTGGGGTCGTATTGGAGAAAACGGGATTAAATTCCGAATCCGGATGCGAGAACACGAACCCAAAAACTTGCCATGCAGAAAACGTTCGCCGCGGCCGCGAGATGTCCAAAAATTCAATTTTCTGGCCCGTCGAGCTCGCGGCCTCAGAGATCGTCGCGGCCGCGATATTTTCTTCGCCGCGGCCGCGGGAGGCTAGGTTGCGGCCGCGGGGGTCGCGACAGCAGATTTTTTATTTTAGCTTTTTTATCAGTTTTTGGGAGTTTGAATCTTTGACCAAGGTTTTCAGACCTCTCGTGCTTTTTGACTCTAGAACATATATTTTCTCTTAGTTTTGATTAGGATTTGATCTTGGATTGTGAAAACACCAAGATTAAGCTTTTGGATTCGGTTATTCGTGTTTTCAACATTGGATTCCTTAATCGTAAGTTTTCATTTCGTTTTCTCATTGATTTAATGGCTTTGATTACTGTACTTGTTGAAGTTGAATGCATTATGAGTAACTAAATCCTTTAGCTAGGGTTAAGGGAAGATCGTTCCGGTTTGATTTCGTTTATATGCATGATAATTGCTCAATCCTCTCGAGTTGTGTTTAGCCTAGGGTTTTGATGATTGATCACTATCTTAATCTATTTAATCGATTTTAAAACTGAAAAGGGAGAAATCGTTCGATCTAGGCTCGTTAGGAATAAGCTTGTTCGTAATAGTATTGCTTATGTGTTGATTGTTTCAATAATTACTCGTTAATGCCTACCCTCTTGTTACGAAGAGTTATTGAGGATAGATCTCTAGATGAGTAGTTTTGCGAGGCATTTAACCGAGCTCTTGATTGCTCGTTAAGTGTATTGAGAACCGGAATTGATCGACCCTGATACCCTAGCTCCTTTATCATAAATTGAGTTTGAGTATTGAGTTGTGAACTCGTGATTCCTAGTTTGGTCTAGCCTTTTTAATTACTTGCTTTTCAATTAGTAGTCGATAAACGAACCTCCAAACTTGATTAGAATGTTTAGGATTTTCACTTCTTTTATTTTCTATTTTTGTGTTTGAATAATCGTACAAAATAATCCGGCTGACCTTCCTCGAGAGACACGACCCGGTGTCGAATCTTTCGATTCCACTCCGGTAAAATAAACTACAACAGTTGGCTAAGGCCAATGTCGATTTATCTCCTCCCGACGTGATGAAGAAGATACCGGCATACGTGAGATTTTTCAAGGAAGTGGCAGCAAATAAGCAGAAGCTCGAGAGCAGTGAAGAGGTGCTCGTGTGTGAAGCGGCAAGTGTCTTCCAACAGAACTTGTCGAAAAAAAAGAAGGACCCCGGAGGCTTCGTGATTTCTATGGCCTTTGGGAATGGGGAAGAGACCTTGGGCATGCTTGATCTAGGAGCAGGCATTAACCTCATTCCACTCACAGTTTATCATCGGCTCGGGCTCGGAGAATTGAAGCCAACCAAGATGCGCTTACAGCTTGCAGATCATTCATTCCGTCACCCCGCAGGGATTGTGGAGGATGTGCTCGTCCGAGTGGGGAAGTTGATAGTCCCCGTGGACTTTGTTGTACTCGATGTGGGAAACGTGCAAGACAGTGGTAAGGAGCACGCCATCCTCCAGAGGGATAACATCAGTTAACATTTAGAACAACCTTGCTGTCCAAAAGTATAACTCACTACACGCATATCCTACTTCAATCTAACACAAAACGAGCTATAGTAATCATATCAGCACGAATTGTACCTCATCAGAAAGATTAAAAAAAGACCTATAACTTTCATGAAGATCACATTTTTATTTGAGCATATTAAGATGCAACAAACATATAAAACATTCAACACACACATGCTGCCGGGATTTGTTAAAAACTGCTTGCGCGACAATTTTGTAAAAATCATAACTCTCTCATTTCAAGTCGGATTTTCGAAATTCCAAAACTCACAGAACCAAAACTGAAAGAACTACATATCATGTGAAGCACAAAACTTCAGAAAACGAGTTTTTATTGCCTTTTCAGAGGCTCGACAGAGGCTGCAAAAATTCACGAATAACATCACATGCGATATACAAACTTCATAGCAACACTTAAGCATCTTAAACACCTATATCATCACCAATATACACATAAACAAGTGAGGACTCGAATTTTAACATGATCTCGACAAAACATCCACATAGCCACATAAATTCCACATATTCGACAAATATATATATAACCTCTTTTGTATCAACTCTTAAGAACACAACATAAACGAGATCTAAAGTTAAACGAGACGGGTCGATCCTTATACCGTTCTCGGGAATCGAACGAATACGGAATGAAAGTAGGGGTGACGGGCTCGATTTGCGGTGGCTAGCGGTGACGAACGAACTCGACGGCTCGATGGCTTCGCGCGGCTCGCCAGAGAAGAAGGGCAGTGGCTAGGTCACGACTAAAGGTCGCTGTACGAACGTGGAAGTCGCCGGAAAAACTTCGCAGGGCTACTGTGCGAGCAGGGACCTGCGATGACGGAGGGTGATTGGGGCGCTGCTCGATGACGGAGCCACTGAATTCGCCGAAAAAGATGATGGCGACGGGAGTTTCAGAGAAAAGGAAGGTGATGGCGACGGGAGTTTCAGAGAAAGGGAAGGTGATGGCGATCAGAAAGGGAAGGTGATGAAGTGATGATGATGGTGAAGGATGAAGGTGATGATGACAACGTCAGATTTCTCTTATCTACTCTAAGTCGCGCGAGAGAATGAAGAAGCAGAATTGTCTGTGGGTTGAGGGATTTATTCTGATTTGTGCGTGAATGAGAAGGGGAGTTTCAGAGAAAGGGAAGGTGATGGCGATCAGAAATGAAGGAGATGAAGTGATGATGATGGTGAAGGATGAAGGTGATGATGACAACGTCAGATTTCTCTTATCTACTCTAAGTCGCGCGAGAGAACGAAGAAGCAGAATTGTCTGCGGGTTGAGGGATTTATTCTGATTTGTGCGTGAATGAGAAGGGGGATAGAGATACACACACACACACACACACACACATATATATATATATATATATATCACGTAAATAGGTTTAGAGTCTTGATCAAAAAGAATCTCACACAACGCACACGGGTCGAATTGGTTGGGCTCGGATTTGGGCCGGATTATCGAGGCTCGCGGTTTCGGTTCAAAGAGACGAATCGGCTCTCGGGCCGGACTACGTAGAAGTAATACGGATTTCTCAGGTTCGATAAATAAATTTGCACAATTAAATAAACAAACAAAATATATAATATGTGTTGATAATACACAATTTAAATTTTAAGAAAATAATAATAATATTAGTAAAAATACAAATACACATTTTAATTAATTATTAACATTTAGACAATTAGGCAATTAATTCAATATTTAGACAATCAAGCAATTTGACAAATAAATCATATTTGACAATTAATAACTTATAACATCACAACCAATAATATTATTAATAACACATGAATATAAATAATAATAATAATAATATTAATTATTCCTCAAAATTCTATAATTTGAACGGGGTATTACAATCTATCTTCCTTAAAATATTTCCGTCCTCGGAAATACGAAAGAACGCTCATCTCAGACAACGACAGACTCAAAAGGGAATTTCCAATCACGAGGTCCGGGCATCACTCTCCGGAACTCGATTCCGTTCCCATGAGTTCTATCGCCTTATACTCGAAAGGCATGTACTCGCATACAGGAACCAATCCGACTCGCCCATGCTCATATGTTTACCTTCTTGCTTGGGAGGGTGATCAGTCATGCCCGAGCTCAGGCGCATATCTTCTTGCAAGGGACCTAGTTCGGTTTAGCCTATACTCATGAGTATCAACGACTTGATTCGTACCTAACAGCACACCAACCTCAACAGGTCGTTCGGTGTATTGTCAGCGTACTCCGACTATCTCACCATCAAGGTGGACGCGTGACGCCAAGTTTGAGTCTCGTATCCGGATCACACTGATAACTTGCTCACGATTCCTACACAGACCGTGCGTCTCAAACCGAGACCACAACACGGTACCACAATATAAAACATGACTCTATCAAGCTCACATTCTCATGATATCGACTCCAAGAGTCGATCGCAACCCATATGCACAAACATAAGGCTTTACCCAAAAAGACATGACATTCCAATTTGCCGACTCGAGAAACTCTCAAGTGAAGCATAAGGACTCATCGACTACTATCCTTAATCCGAAATCATCGATTAAGGATTTGCACACATTTAGTGGGACTTGGAGCTCTCGGTTCAAGGTTCAAACAAAAGGGGTTCAAATGGATAGCCAAGTATTCCAGCATGAAACGGTTCAACTGTTCAGGAAGACATCGATGGTTCGGGGTTAGGGTACTGTCACCCAAGAGGCGGCACGCTCGCTGGCGCTGCATAAGCGGGGTGCTGGGACGCGTTCATACCCACCTACTCGGAGACCAGATGTAAGATCGAGGCTTGGCCGCACACGCTGGCCTGGGGAGTTTGTGCGTTCGGTGATGGCGACTGCAGTTCGCATGCGAGTCAACGGTCGGCCGCGCGCAAGCCTCCCGTCTTTCAGCACGGTCGTGCGTGCTCGGCCACCACTTCGCATGGCTACACTCAGCCAGGGTCAGGGTTTGGTCTGGGTTTTCACAAGAAATTACAATTCAAGGCTACCAAAAAGGAATGGTCTTACCGAATTTCAAAAATTTTGGGGTCGACAAAACAATATACATTTCAGGCGTTTCTCAATTTCAAAAGTTTCAAAAAGTCTCAAAAATAGCAAGGTGCAAGTTCGAGTTCCAAGTCCACCAACTTTCTAAGATAACAAAATGCAATACGTCACAGATCTATCAATATGCGAAATCTCCAAAAGAACTCTCATGACAATTCTCCCTAAGTCAGCAGCTTCTGCTGAGACATTAAATAGATAGCTCCCCTCGGCTCTTCCGACTAACAGCATTGGCCGACACGTCAGCTCTTCCTCAGGTAGCTAATCGTGTCAGCAGCCCTAAACGAGTGCATCTCACTTTCCAATCTTCACACCTTGGCATTTGAACGCGAAGTTCCTCCCGGGATTCCGAAAGAAGGAAGAGAACAAAAATTTTATGATGAACAAAATTTAGAATAATGACGGTACTGCACTACACGATGTGCTTGCTCTAGACTCGACTATCCTCCTTAAAATATTTCTGCATATCTTTTAAGGTGGAAAAATACTCCATCTTCTTATCAAACCAAATTGTGCTGGCTTCAGCTCTTGTGCGTTTGTCTAGATGCCGAGCGCGAACAATTATTGTCCCCTTCGAGGTTAGATTATTCACAAAAGTGGCGATAGAAAAATTTTTCCCCCGAGTCTTCAAGATAGTTTAGCGATGGCATTCGAACGAAACTCTCATACTTCACAAGAGAATAAAGATAAGCAGAAACAAAGAGATGCTTAATCTCACTTGAAATCAGGGTTTTCAAAACAAAGTCAATTCCCAACATAAGATAAACCAGAATTAGCTAAACTCTAAGAGAAGTGAAATTTTTAAAGTTGGGAAGCATAAAATAGTTTACACAGCGAATCAAAAGTAGGGAAGATCAAGCGAAATCCTCAAAATACGAAAATTGGATAACAAGACGAAACCTCAATCACACCTCAAAATTGTTTGCCATGTGAACGGGAAAAGGGTTTGCAAGAGTATACAAGAAGACAAGAGTTTAAGAAAGGAAGCACGACTGCTTCGCCTTCACGAGTCCACGATCCACTGGTTTCATCATCGGTTCAAGTTGCTCCCTTCGTTTAAGCCTTCTCCATTCGAGATGGCCCGCGAATGGTCCTCATCCGAGGATACCAAAAATACATCGAGAGAACTGTTATACACAGAACTCGGCTCGATAACATTATATCGGATTTCTAAACAAACAAAACCTCAGGTTAGAACCTAACTCTATGCCGCTAGAGTTCAAGTTCATACAACTAAGGTTCGCCACTCAGCTAGAGTTCCAGAACGTTTAAAAGTAGGAGGATAAATTCCTAAGCCCCAATTTACATATCATGACATCCCAATATTACACATAAGCAATTCAAAATTTATTCAAGTATTCATACCTGACTTGGCGCGCCACGACGGAAGCGAGTGGTCATAACTTAAGGTCAAAGTACATAACCACAATATTCACACTAACCAGCCTACAGAAACGCAGACTGGCTCTGATACCAAACTGTAACGCCCCACTTTTATTTGCCGAAAATCAGAATAAATTTTTCAAATTTATTTCAAAACACCTGAGGCGCTACTCATTTTCAAAACAAACTTCAATACTTATCCAACTTCTCAATACTGAATCGATTATCAATATCAATCATCAATCATCAATTTTACTAACTCCCAAACGGGTTTTCCAAAATTCATAAGTCACCCAAACCGGGTTTTAATAACATTCATAAATTCTAAGGAACATCTCCTTAACATTATTCAAGTCATAAAATCCAAAATTCATAAATTCATAAATGCAATAATACTCTAAGTCCACAGTCATAAAATCCAGAATTCATAAATGCGGAAGCATAACCAATAATAAGACCGGTCTTATAGACCGACCACCACTCGCTCTACTCCGCCATCGTGCCTGCCTCGCTTAACCTGAAACGTGAATTTCAGGTGGGGATGAGCACAGTAGGAAAAAGTAGCGCTCACCACTATGCAGTAAACATTACTCAAACAAATCAACAATATGATCTCAGCATGAATAAGAATCAATTTAATATCCCAATCTCCTGTCATCATAATATCGTCATAAGATCTCCATAATATCGTCATAAGATCGTCATAAAATCAAGACTCATGTGCACACCTACGCATAGACTACTGCTGACTATATATCGAATGCCCTCGGGTCCTACATCGAGTGCCAACCAGTAGGAGTAATTCACTACTGCTGACTATATATCAAATGCCCTCCGGTCTTACTTCGAGTGCCAGCCAGTAGGAGTAAACCACTACTGCGGGGTAAAATACCAAATGCCCCTCGGGATTCTATCGGTGCCCAAGCCAGTAGGGAAACGTGCAAGACAGTGGGGAAGTTGATAGTCCCCGTGGACTTTGTTGTACTCGATGTGGGAAACGTGCAAGACAGTGGTAAGGAGCACGCCATCCTCCAGAGGGATAACATCAGTTAACATTTAGAACAACCTTGCTGTCCAAAAGTATAACTCACTACACCCATATCCTACTTCAATCTAACACAAAACGAGCTACAATAATCATATCAGCACGAATTATACCTCATCAGAAAGATTAAAAAATGACCTATAACTTTCATGAAGATCACATTTTTATTTGAGCATATTAAGATGCAACAAACAGATAAAACATTCAACACACACATGCTGCCGGGATTTGTTAAAAACTGCTTGCGCGACAATTTTGTAAAAATCATAACTCTCTCATTTCAAGTCGGATTTTCGAAATTACAAAACTCACAGAACCACAACTGAAAGAACTACATATCATGTGAAGCACAAAACTTCAGAAAACGAGTTTTTATTTCCTTTTCAGAGGCTCGACAGAGGCTGCAAAAATTCACAAATAACATCACATGCGATATACAAACTTCATAGCAACACTTAAGCATCTTAAACACCTATATCATCACCAATATACACATAAACAAGCGAGAACTCGAATTTTAATATGATCTCAACAAAACATCCACATAGCCACATAAATTCCACATATTCGACAAATATATATATAACCT